AGAGTATAAAGACTCACTCACAAAATACAATAAAGAAGTTCTGCAAGGTGCACTTATGGAATTGGAGAACAGAGTGACGCTCATTTGGGTGCCGGGCCATAGTGGCCATGCGGGCAACGAAATTGCCGATGGGCTGGCACGGAGGGGACCGGCGTGCTCCAGCGTATTCACCGCAGAGTTGCTGGGGATGAGCAGGAGCCGGGTTCTCACTATTGCGAATTTCTTCACGGGGCACTGCCGAGTGAAGTACCACCTGCATAGGCTGAGGAAGTCGGGCTCCCCCCTGTGCAGATTTTGTGGGGGTGGCGATGAGACCGCCGTGCACATTTTCTGCGACTGTCCGGCACTGGCTGTTCGGCGCCGCAATTGTCTTGGACATGGGTCCCTAAGTGCTCGGGAACTGTTGTCCAACTCCCTTAGGGATATCTCCGGCATTGTGGTTGGGACGAGAATATTATAGACGGGATAGTGGGGGGGGGGGCTACAATACGTCAAAAATGGCTGCGGTGTCTTCGGGGGTTACTCCTGTCCCACTCGGTTCCCTTAGAATCGACGAATCTTTCGTTTTGCGAAATATGATCACCCTCAAAGTACAAGACTATAAATTTATTAAAAATATCAATAAAATATAATATATTGTACATCACCATATAAAACTATAAATACACAATTGTAACGATATTTTCATACCCAGATCGTACAGCATTACTCTATCTATGTGTTAAGTCTATTATAGCGAGCATAACCTATAAAGTTTTATTTATTTCTTTATGTAAACATCAATATATTTAGGCATAAATATGTATGTATGTGAATAAATTTGTATAAATGTGAATACTGTAGAATATTTTTAAAATATCTTGTGTAAATAAAATGAATAGATTGTGTTCCTTTTCTTCTTTATTTTGGTTATGATTTTGGTTTTTTATTCTTTTTTTGGCTAAATACTTAAGCCGCACAATAATCTTTTTCTTATACTTAGTATAGTTTCGCGCCCAACGGTTAATAGCTTTTTTATTTACTTTGGTTTTTAGTTTTTTCCAAAGAAATTACTTTAGACATACTTAGGTTTATACTTTTTTATTTGTATATACATACATATATGAATGAGATATGACTTTTTAATAGTTTGTTGCAGTTTCTGAATAATGCACATAAGTATACGGAAGAATGAGTCTTTCAATGTAGATATGCAACTTTAAAATTAGAGTTTTATTCTTCAAAGCATAAAAATTGTCGGTTTGTACACTTTCTGGATCTGGAAAATCTATTTTATTTGGAGCGCAAATTATTATTTATGAATAGAAGTGACACTAAACATACAGGTTCTAAAATTCTTACAAATTAAGTATAATCGCAAACGTGAACACCATATGTATATATTAATACGCTAGGTTGCTGAAATTTTGGTTGAAATTCGTGTGTTGAACAAAATTTCAATATGTCAGGATGTTAATAGTAAATTGGAAAATTAAAGAGCCAAAGTTAAATAGTGAATTGAAAGTATTTTACATGAATGTACTGTTGGAATTTTATAAAAATTTATATTTTATATGTATGTATATGTATACATAAGTAAATATATAATTTATGCAGATGAAGTTAGTTTGGCCAAAAACGTAACCATAAAGTGTAAATTCAAGAAACACTCATCTCTTCAAGAAATTTATTTAAAATCCACAAACACGAAATTTGAAAGGGCTAGAATAGAACATAAAAAAATACATACAAACATACTTATGATTTTGATATTTAAAATCTGTATTAACACTTTTTAAAACAAAAAATGTGGTATAAAATAATTTCGCCAAATATACATGAATATGCATATATGTATGTATGTATATGTCTATAAGTTTATTCCATTTGTATGTATGTATGTATAATAACAGCCGCGTTTATGAGGATGTGCATAGGTACTTACTCATAATAAGCGTTTATGAATTACATATATTTTTACAGCAATTTGTACACTGATTTTTTCTTAATTGTAAAATTAATTATTTGAGCTCGCTCGTACAGCTTGTACTTTATTGAAATTGAAAGACAAAAAGTATTTACAATATGAAATTTACTTTAAACCCCAAAGTTTTTTTACTTCTTTCATTCTCCCATTTAACTCCATTTAATTTGTTTAAAAAAAATTTAGAACATGTTCAAACTTGTATGGATAACATATGTACATATTAACATATACGAATGTACATATATAAACGGATGTATACACTTAAATACATACATAATTATATTTACATATACATACATACATCGTTGAATTACAATATTTTTAACTGAAATAAATAAGCAGTTAGAGAAATTTCGTACAAGCTCTTTCATTAACTTTTTTTAATTATTGGCTCAATAAGTGCATGTATACATGGTTGTATGTATAACCATGTGTTAAGATTTATCGAAAATTATTTAGCAAAGCGTTGTCAACACAATACAGTTTATTTTAAAATATCGGAATATTTACACAATATTATAATTAAATTAAATGATTTCTGAGACATGTATTACAGACAAGACCGTTTATTTACCCCCAAAAGTATGCTATGCTATACGATTGTAAATATGTTTAAGGAGTTTCATTCTAGCTAGTTATTTACGTTAGGCATTAAAATTTTTTTTGTTGGTTAATAAGTACTTAAAAAGTATAATATATCATTCAACTCAATATCATTCAAATTTTGAATTCAATGTTGTAAAATTGGATAAATTTTAAGAAAATTTTGAATTCTGCAAATTTTTTCATGGAAATTATTCTTTATTTAAGTATTATTTATTTAAACAAAAAAATCGACAGATTTCAAAATTTTTTACAGAAATGTTTATTAATATGTAATTCATCTACTTAAAAATCATAGGTTTCATATCACATTATGTGGCGTCCATTAAAACCTGATGAACTTTCATTTTTTTAATTACTTAAAGATCGTAGATATTTAGAATATGTTTGAATTTAAAATCTTAAGTTTTCCAAAGTTTAAAGCATTGAGCAAAAAAGAAAATGGCAAATTGGAAGATTCATTATGCAAATCTTAATAGCTGAATTTTAAAATTATTCAGCTAGAATAAATTGCTCGTCCAGATTAACAGAAAGCTAAAATAATTAACATTGCCGTTTGAAGTACGGGTATAAAAGTAATTATGAAACTTAGAATAATTAAATTTAAAATAATTAATTAGGAACAGTGCAAGTATTTTATAATAAAATCTAGTTTCATATTCAGTTAGTTATCTATTTTAATAAAGGTATGTAGTTTTTTGAATTGAGAATTAAATTGATTTTTAAATTTTTTATTTAAATTTTCTTATTAATTAAAAATTTTAAAATCAAGGCTTTGGGTACGTAAGTATCTAATTTACAAGCAATATTTTGACCATTCTTTTGTCGTCAATCTTAGGTTCTGTAATGTAAATTACAGAACCTAAGATTACACATTACAGAACCTAATCTTAGGTAAAATATAATATATATAATTGTTTTTAATATTCTAATTAAATTTTAATTAATGTAAATAAATACAAGTTTCTACTGATAGCAAAAGTAATTCCTCCAATTATAATAAAATTTAAACAGTTTTACATAAAAGAATAACATTTGCACTTTTCATATTTTGGGAAATAACATTTTGTATTATTAAAAAAGTCTAAAAATAAAAAATTTTATTTAACTTACATACATTTGAAAAAATTTGCGAAATAAATCCTTTTTTTAAATGCACAATGTTAAAAGTGTTGATTGAAGACCAAATTTATAAAATTTATGATGTTTAAAAAATGCGAACTTCAAAACTCAGTTTTCTTAAAGTAATCCAAGTATAGTTTTAAACTATTCATATATGTATGTACATATGTACATACAAATTATAAAAGAATTTTCAATAATTTTTTTTTTTGTTTTTCCAATTACACTTTGGTTTTAATCAAAATCTCTTATTCTCTGACATTATTAAAAAATTGATTTTATTTAAAATTAAAATGTATAACAATTTTATTCACTTAAAATTTTTAATGCGCTCAATTTCCTTGCTTTTTTTTATTTGACTTTTCAATATTAGAAACAAGAACACTTGATGATTCAATCTGTGCTAATTGCTTGTATCATGCTTTATTTTCCCGAATATTTAATTATTTAATAATTTTTTATTCTAAATTAAATTCACTACTTTCACATTAAACTAAAAAATTAATCGTTTCTAACACTTTTATTTTTAAATTAAATACAAAATCTCTTCACAATATTATTTTGCGAATATAAAAAATAAATTCCCATGAGATCTTCAATTAAATTTAATTGATTAAAAGACTTATTTAATTTTTTTCTAAAATTTAATTTATAATTAAAAATTTAACAAGATATAGAAAAAACAAATTAAAACTGATCAAAATTAAATCTACATAAAACTTATTTTTAAACTAATAATTAAAAAATGCTGAAAAATTAAAAATTTTTACGAGAATTTTGATTTTTTTTTTAATAGTAAACTTTAACGAGATTATTTTAAAAGCAGAAATAAAAACAACGAGACAGAAGTGCACAAATCAATGTATCAACGTGATTGACTGACTACACGCTAAAGACTGAACTAACATTAAAAATAAGAAAAAAAACGGAGACAATAAATTTTATATTGTGTTGTGATTTTTGTGAAGTGAATTATGTGTAATTTTGTGTCCATCAGTATATTCTGTATCTGTATGTTTATGATCGTTTTTTTTACTCGCTCGCTCGCTCGCTATACCTCGACGTCGTACTCGACTGAGAAGACTTTGAGACTGAACAATTTTATATTATGTATTCAATACTTATGAAAAAAAAATTAAAAATAAATAAATGAATAATAAAATAATTCAAACATATATAAAACTAGTTGGGTTGATTTTATATTTAGTTGATTGTCGAACAAATCGTATCGTATCGTAATGTGTCAAAAAAACTTCAAAAGGCGAAAGAGAAAGAAAAGAAATCAACCACAGTAAAACAGGAATACAAAACAATATAAATATAATCATACTAAACGAAAATATAAAGCAATTTTATGAGCAATATTAGTAACATTGGCAACAACAGCAAAGAGCGAGCAGTATAACAGAAAGAAAAAAAAAACAACAAACATCAATACTGTAATGTTGGTGTATGAATATATGGCTGATTTTTTAAACATCAGGTTGTGTTGCGATTTAAAAAAGAAAAAAGCTAAACATAATAATAACATAAATAAAAAAGGAAAGAAAAATGAAAATAATATGAATATTATGATTTAGATTACAAGAGCGAAGTGAGTGAAATGAGAATTTTGTAACACAATGGTGGCAATCAGCATAAAAAAATTGTTAAAGTATTATTTGTAAGTTACGACATAAAACAGAAGTTTAAAATGCTCAAAGAAATCGGAAATTTTTAAAGTAAGAATAATTTAGCAAAATATAACAAAAAAGAATGGTCATAGATAAAACAAAACTTTGCCTTCACAAATTGAATATCAAAATTTAAACCGCAGTGCCCAAATTTTTTGATCAAAGTGTTGGAAAAAGGAGAAAAATAACAGGATAGCAATGTTACTAATACAATAACTTTTTAGAATAGGTGATTGATTGCACAATAGGAAACAAAAATATTGTTTTAAGCACAACAATTTGTTTATTTCTTATAATTCTGCTTTTTTTTTACCAGTACTGTACATGTGATGATTCAGCAGGATATTATAAAAAACGAGAGACTAAGAGTAAAAGTTCATTTTGTTTTGTTGAAAATTGAAAACGTTGTATAAAGAGAGTTTAGAGATTGAGAATAAAAATGAAATAGAATTAAAAAAAAATAATGAAAGAGACAGAAAACGATCGTTGAAATTTAAATCCATCCAATTTCAAAAATACCACACAAATAAGATAAGAAAACAAAAAAGAATCAACAATCATGTGCATGGAAAACCACTCTAGACAGACTACTAAAAGTATAAAAATAAAAAAAAAATAAAAAAATAAATCTTGTTTAGTGTGTAGTACAAGTATTCCTAAACATATTGGATTCAGATTTAAACCGAACAACGTAGTCTTTCTTTAGTAATATGAGAGCCTATAACGTAAGTTTTATGCAACAGGTTTTTCTTTTGTTCGTCTTTTTCATATTAATGTATTGTATTCTTGTTTTTTACTTTAGTACATTAAATGTTTATACATATATGTAAGTACATAAGTATGCATGTGCATTTTATGAAATGGAGTTAGACAGGTATGTAGGGTATTCAAAATTTTTAATTTCGTTTTGAAGGTTCTTTTTGTAAATTTTTTTTTTAATTTTTTTTAGGTTAACCTTTGATTTTTTTTTAATATTACTACGACGTACTCACAAAAGTTTTCCTGGAATTAAATCAAAAGTTTTAAAACGCATTTTGTTAAACTTGTCTTTGAATTAAAATTGCAGTTAGTACATTCATTCATATACAATACGAACATTATGAATGCTTATATTTTAAGCTTTATATTTTAAGTTTGAGTTATATGTTCTTACAAAAAGGTACTACCTTAAGTCCCGAGCTGCGTTCATAGAAAATAGGAAAATCAAACATTACAAACAGATATATGTACATATAATAAAATTTTCGATTTATTTTTAAAATGTCAAAAAGGTTTTTGTCAGGTAGGCTTGTCACACATTCATACATACATATATGTATGTACTTATTTTACCTATTTTTTTTATTAAATTTATTCTTAAAAAAGCTTTTGTTCCCATATTTTACGATTACTCTAAATTCCAATTTTAAATATACATATGTAGACATAACTCTCGTATACTCATTTCTATAATCATGTGTAAACATAGGTGTAATTGTAGGTATGTATGTATATATACCATGATTACTGATTTCTCTCAAGAAAAGTATTACTTATTATAAAATGTTCTTCGCCTTCTTTTACCGGTTCATATCATAAAGGTTTATATCATTTATGGTCATATAGGTATTACCTTTATTTTTGGATGTATTTGTAATATTGTTTTGTGTACACCTGAATTAGATAAAAATAGATGTAGAAACAATAAATTTATTGTATTATAAACGGAAAAAATACTGTAATAGTAGTAATCAGCTACCATATTTACTTATATGTGTAGTAATTAATATGTATACTATAAGTGTAATACTTCATATGTTAATATGTTTTACTAAAATGTTAGTAATATTTAATTATTTAGTATAAATAATTTAATAGTATTTAATTATTCAGTGTATGAAAACCCCCAAAAAAATTCACTTCTCTTTGTTTTGAAATATATTCCAAACTAATAATATTTAAAAGTAATCTGCAGTTTTATCAAGAAAATTCTCAAAAGGAGGCATTTTGACAACTAAATTTTATTTCGATGACAACATTAGTTATTGCCAAAATGCCAAGTATAATTTTCTATATCTGACAATAATCTTGCTATTCATATCTTGCTATAAAAAGAAATTAATTTTTTAACACTTTAGAGAAATGAAAAACATTGTTTATGTACATTACTTATGTACAAAATAATCTTAAATAATGTAAGAATTTATATGTATAAGCACATAATAGTCTGTAGCGAAAAATTAAAAATTTATGCATAAATTTATCTCAATAGAATAAGTATTACGTGAAGAAGTGAACTCATGTGAAATAAATTATGTAAAGATATATAAAAATAACAAATGTGAACATGTTCAATTTTCTATATGTATATATAAATAAGTATGTATGTATATCTTGTAAATTAGTGAACATTTCTAAAACTACAAGGAAGAAAATATATAAGCTCAATATATTATTTTTTGCACATTTCCAAAACAATTACAAAAAAAATTACTTAAAAGTTTCACTCAGTTCTTGCGCCTATTTATGAAACTTCTTACATGCAAAAGATTCTAGAATTAAATATAGATACGCTTTTATGACAACTTCTTGTGTAAACCATAAAAACATTTTCAATTTCGAAAACTTAACGGTTAAAGAAAGAATTTTTATCAAAGCAAATAAGTAACAATAAAATGTTTCCTTATCACAAAATTTATTTAAATATTTTTGAGGATCCAATGAACCTTTCAATTAGTAGAAAATTTGTTTTGGTTTTATTTTTATCCTAAAAGTATGCAATAATTATGAAATATTTAATTCATATATTTTAAAATATGATAATAAAAGTAATATTAATATGATCGTATGATCTTAAGAAAATAATGTAATTAATTGTATATAATTGTTAATTGCTTATGTAACTGTTTTTAATTGGAAATGTGCTGTTTCACAAACCACCGATTTGATCCGAATTTAATAACAATAATTCACAACATAATTCTCAATTGTCTACAAATGCTAATTAAATTTCTATAATCAATTTTCATGAATATTTTGTGATTTACGCCAGTTCTCTTGCGTAAGTACATATGCATTTGTAAGTACATATGCATTTTTGTAAATATTGATGTATGTAAATTTCTATTGAATCTAGAACCAAATTTTTTTGAACGTACACTGTATGTGATATTAACATATGCATCTGTACATATTCCATTGCAAATTACTTAATAATAAATGTGAATATTGTCCCTTTGGTAATTATTTTTGTGATAAAAATACTCACAGACTCGCGTCGCGCCGATATTTATTTTGCTTATTTTTCATAGTTTTCTTTTCGTTCTATGACGTTCTGCTTTTTACGCTACTATAGTTTGGTAGCGGAACATTATTTACATATTTGCAGTATTAGTAACACAATGTTTATTCTTAGATTATGTTATTTTATATCTAAGGAAGAAAAAATTTAAAACACAGATTTTGTTTTCTTGTTTCACAAATTATGTACATATTTTTTTTTTAAATCATTACATAAAATATGTACATATACTTTTCTCCTAACAATAGTCGAAAGAAAATCTTCGTTTTAATTGTTCTACTGAAAATGACGTAGAATTTCAATAACAATCCTCGACTGGCAGACTGGGATCCGATATTAATAATTTAAGTGAAGACTTATACACATATTTCGCAAATTAAAATATATGCATATAATTTAATGCAACACTGTAATTTAAAACTGCCTCATGTTGTTAAAAGTTTTTAGAAGAAAAAATAATCCCTCTCATTCTTCTCATTTTAAACCGGCTGTCTTCCTCACAAAAACCTTTATATCTACTTGAGAATTACCAGATGGTCTTAAAAGAATTAAATGGATCAGATTAAATTACAGGATGAAGGTGACAGCTATAGCTGGGTTAGAGTACTTACAGCAGTATTGCAAACTAAGTATAAATTTGTGTCGAAAATGTATGAGTTAATAGGCGAAGTTAAACTATAATGATTACAGTTATATTTTGCATCTCTGGATCTTAGAAACCACATCTGAGAGCCGAGAAAAATAACATAAGCAAAGATGTCTGCTAGTGATGATAACCGTGCATAAGCATCCACCATGTGCAATGATATGTGCCCCCTGAATAATAATATAACAACAATGATGACAAACAATACCAAAAGTGTTAATTAGTATGTTAATTACATTACTTACTGAGTTCTTTATGGTGTCTGAACTTCTATAAAAGAACTAAATAAATAATGTGGAATCAATTGTAATTTAATTTATACAAGCATTTACTGGATAAAATTCGACACTAAAAATTTCTATACACTTTCTTATATATTTATTTTGTATTAATTTTTCTAATTTGAATCCAAATCCAAACTTAAATTAGAAAAATTAATACAGACCGTAAAATAAGAGGTTTGGAAGACAAGATAAATGAGAAACCATTTGAGGACTTCGCACTTCAAAAAAATGTTGATTTTGTATTAGGAGATTAAAGATTTTTTGATAACTGTTCATTATTATATTATAACGAAACTCTAAAAGTAGAATTGTGAATAATTATTATACTCTTATTAGATTTGGTTAAATTTTCATCTTTCTTGAAACCTCCTAAATGCTTCTCCTTTATCATATTCTGTCACATTTTAATTATTTATCATATTCTAATTAGTTTTGAAAATCACAAACGCCACAAGCTCTCTTTGATACACTTCAAGTTATGTTACCTCACGGTGAACCAGGTATGTAATTTAGGTGCATTGTGACCAATCAATGATAGTGTTCGTTCTTATCGCAGTTTCTCATTATCATTCTACTTTTTGGGTTTTGAGCCCTGTTTTTATACGCTTTCCGGAATATTCTAAAAATTCTATACTTCCTCAACATTTATTCTAATTTTTGCTCTTTTTATCACAATAATATTCCACATGTATCGCACAATTGCACATGTATATTAAACAAGAGAATAACAAAATATCTCAAGAACTATTCGTATATGTATTCACAAAATCAGTATTTATAACATTACGTAGGTACGAATCCACATACATACATAATTAACATACATACATACTTATGATTTACGTGACGTAATATGAAAACTTAGGCCATTGACTTAGCGAGTCGCGATGAATTTTCTTTTAATTTTTTTATTTAGTTATTTTTTTTATTCATTTTTTGATTTTTCTTTTTTCGACTTTTCTGATAGACCGCCGAATGTGAAAATGAATCCAGCCATTTCATCAAGAAGTAAATATGTGTAAAATGAACCAACAATTCAGAAACTGTGCATTCATCCATCTATTATACAATATTTTTAACAAGCTGTCGTCTATGCGAAAAGAAAAGAGTTATTAAAATGATCGCGAGTTCTTGTATTAATTTTTTTAATGTACTTTAAGAGTATTTTTGTTTTTTATTATAAGCAAATATGTTCATTTATATAATTTGTTTGTACTTAAGTATATGCTCATACGTTTAAGTTGTGGAACGCGATACGAAGTATTGCAGATCATTTTTTTAAGATTATTTTTAATTTCAAATATTTTTTTTGCTTTTGTATGATATTTCAGTTTTAGTTATAAAATAAAAAAATAAATTATAAACAGTTGTAACCGAATAAAATTATAAATTCATTGAAGAATAAACTTAGTTCTAATTTTTTTCATGAGAACTTTCGTTTAAATTTAATAATCCTTAGCTTTACGATGCTCTAAATAAATTCTAATTTCATTTCATCTTTAACACGAGCTCATGGGTATTATTATTTTACAAAGCACACTTACTGTAATAATTAGAAGTAAAAACAAGGAGAATGAAAGTTACTAATGCCGGATAAGTAAAAAATCAAGTTGTAATATTAATAATCGTTATTTTTGTAAATGGTATTAAATTAAACGCCGTCAGTGAGCATTCGACTATAGGTGGCTTATGTCAGCCAATCCGACCCTTTGAGAAATCTATCAAAATCCCGATGTCAATCTTCGATATTCGAACTCAGTTGCCGATATCAAAATTTTTGTTAAATTTACTGTAAAATTTTTAATTAATAAAATTTCTTAAATTGAAATTATAAAATAGACACATATACATACATCATTCTGTACTTAGCCGAAATTTTAATGAAACTTTATGAGATATATGTATATGTAGAATGCAGGTACTTAATATTTGTTGTGCCGTTAAAATTTACTTCAAATTATCAAATAGAATATTTTTGAGGAGATTCAAAAAAATTTATGGGCTTTTAAAAAAAAAAGTATATTTTTTTATCAAAACTCGTTTTTATAGGCAGGCAAAGAATTAAAAAGCAAACTCTTTTATTTTTATTATCGTTTTTTTTTCTGTTAAGATCTCTGGAATTTTTAATATTAAAAAAGAACAATTTTGTGGAAAAGAAAAAAGTGAAAATTAGAAACATAAAAAAATACCAGTTCTAGTAGGTTTTTTTTGTATAAAAATAAAAAAAAATCCTAAACTTCACAACAACTCCCGCTAAGTTCTTCCAAAAAATCTATTTCATTTTTTCCTTTTTTTTCTTGTTATTTTTCTAGATGGTGCTAATCAAATGTATAAACTTTCATTAAATATTTACGAAATAGTAAGAGAATACAATTTTTCTTAAACGAAAAGCGTATAAAATTTGAGAAGAACCTTGTATTTTCCATAGTCAGATCAGGCCCATATGATAATGAGATGAGGGACTTAATGTTTTTTCTTTATATTGTACTATCGTGATTACGCTTAAAAGAAAAATAATTAAAACAAAAATATTTTTGAAAGATTTAGTGATAGCAATCGTTACGATAACAATGATGAAGATGATACCGGTCAGCGACCGTTTGAACAGCATCTATTTAACTTGAAAATAGTTAAAATTAAAAAAAAGGAAACCAAAACTGAAATCATTATAAAAATTTTAATTTACAAAACCTTTAGACCCCTTTAACCAAAAAGTAGTTACAATAAACCAATTTATATGTATGTGTGAATATTACCTATTGCTGTTGCTCCATATTTTCATTAAGATTGAAAAGAATATACTTAAGCGCTATCACATTTATAAATTTTTAACATTATTAATATTTTTACGACTCACTTACAAAACTAAACTTATCACAATAATTGTTTTGTAGGTGAAATTTTTACTGAAATTTCAAGGTGAAAATTTTCCATTAAAACTTTACATTACTCAATTCCATAATATTTTTGTGAGTTAATTGATATTTGCAAATAAAGCAGGAAGAAAAAGTTATAAATCAGTGAAAATTCATGTATAGTTATACAATTAAATCAAATTATTAAATAGTTTGTAAATGATATGTAAAAGATTAATGGCCCTAAATTAAAATAATTTTTTATACAACAATGAGTGCCCATTCTTATATGTATTTGAGTACACATTCACATAACATTTAGAAACCACAAAATACTTCAAGAAATATTTATTTAAACAAGAAAAAATCAATTCCTTTACTATCCCTTTGTATTATCTAAAAAATATTTCTACTAAAATTATTCAAGGCTTCCAACACCAGCTATATTGTCATTTAATTTTAAAAATTTCATTAAAATAATTTTCAATATTGTTTACAAAACTGTCTTAATTGTTAAACTAATAGTTACATAGTAAAAAAATCTGATGTGATCACATAACCGACCGCAAAGTTTATTGTCTAGTTAAGTGAAAATATTACAGAAAATTATAAAAATGCCTTTTAAATACTTCTTCCCAATTTCTAGGGAGTTAGCAAGCTTTTAATAAACATACCTAGAAAAATATAAATTTGGCTCTTAGTAGAGTTTCACTTTGTGCTATTCGAATTCCCTGAAATGCTTAGTTTCGGCAACAACCATAACTCAAATATCAAATTTCAAGAAATTCCACCAATTATTTCCGTAGATATGATAAAAAATATTTAATTCGGCCCCTAGACCGGTTTCCGACCCCTGATCATTAAAAAAAAATTTATATGTTCATTGTTTTAACACTCTAATTTTATATAATAAATTTCAAGAGAATAGGTTGATTATTTCTCTTTATATGGGAAAAAATCTAAATCTATTGACCTGCAAAAAAGCCCAGTTCCTAAAGCCTGATATATACCAAAATTAATCAATCCGTGACATAGCCACAACGAACTTATATATAAAACTTCATGAAAATCGGTTCAAACGACAGACAGATTGCGTGTCCACATAAACAGACAGATCGACAGATTGGTAAGAATAGTTTATTTACACTTCCCTACCATGGAGAAGAGCGTTCCCACTGAAAACTCGATATGGAAAATTTGTTGCCATCATATAACCTTCCTTATTGTTTATCCACTAGTTTGTGAGACTTCAATATTCTAAACTAGAATTACTAGTCTTATACCTTTATATGATATGGATCTTAAATGTCTCCACTTAGAAAAAAATTCTAAGTTAGATTCACGTCATAATTACTTAACTCACTGTTTTCAAGCCTAATCATAAATATTTTCTATTTTTGTTTTCTTAATTATTTCGTTTTTAAAAACAAAAATTCTTTATTGATAGGAAAATTAAGTTTTCTCTAATCTTCAAAGTGTATAATTTCAGTTTGAAGATATACATAATTTCAATTTGAATAGCGCCACATAAAACGCTCGATTGTAGCAAAAATGTAATAACTTCAAATTGGTTTTTTTTTAGAAATGAGATGTTTTAAAATTTTGCGGCTGTTTTCTTATTTTATTTGACATTCCATGTTCGCATCTTGATAGGAAATTTATAAGTAATTATTTCAAAAGGAAGAACCCAACAATCACTTTTTAAAAAATCATTCAGAAGATTTGATTTAAATTCAGTTGGAATGACCACACTCGATATTGAAAAGGTATTTGATTCTGTATTTTTGACTGGGATTCTCACTCTATATCAATAAAATAATATTTAGTTTTTTTATGGTGTAAATCTTTTCGGTTTCTATTTCTGGAAGTCTATGCTATCTCCATTACCTTATAATACTGACCTTATAATACTGAAATACCTTATAATACTTATTGTAGCTGACATGCTTAAACCACTAAACCAAGAACCACTAAACCAAGAACTAAACCAAGAATACTTACTTAATACTTCAAAATAATAATGAATGTCAAAAAATATTTGTATTCATACATTTATTAACGATTCTTTTTTCAAACGGCTTTTTAAATCTTAAATTCGATCATTACCGATTAAAACCGCAGGGGACCTACAGAATGTTTATTGTAAATAAAAAATTGGAAAACGATTAAAGCAATAAAACAAAATATCAAATGAATCTGATGATATTAATTCGATGGAATGGCGATTTTCGATAATACAAAGACAAGAAGCAATTAATCAGTTTCTGGGAGACCTAAAATGATTTGTCGACGGCTATATTATGTTTTCAAGAAACCACAATAAAATTTGCGATATATGTATACATATACACGTATGTTTGTTAATGGAATTGTAAGCAAATACTAAACGTGGACATTCATATTATACTTTCTGTCGAATTAATATAATTTAGATGTAAATATATAAATATACCTAAAGTACATATAATTAATATAAAAAGATGTCATATATCCGACTGACAGTATATAAATTTGAATAGAAATTTTAAATATCAAAATAACGGTGTTCTGTTTTTAAATTTTATAATTAAATATCTTTCTCTTTTTCTATTACGTGCATATTTATTTACATACATATATCAAAATACTTATGTACATACATTCATATAAAAATAAATCTTTAACTAAGAAAAATAAATAAAATTAAAGAATAAATTAGAGAAATTAGAGATGTTAACCTATAATTAATCTTTTAGGTTTAGGATTCAAATTTTTTTTATGTAAACGCAAGTATAATAAAATTTTTCAACCATACATATATTATGCATACATAGTATATACTTATACATATGAACATACACGTACATAGGAATTTGTAAACAGGTAAACTTAGAAGTTCCGAAAAAAAATTTCTCTTGGTCTGTTGTATTTTAACATAATTATAATTAATCATAATCAATATAGCAGCTACTGTCATTTATCATACTTTAAGTGTATACGTACATATGAATTCTATATGTGTATATAATAGGTATAAATGATACTTAAAGTAAATCTTCATTTTACTAGATTACACGCACATGTTTGTGTGTGAATATTTTGATTAGATGCTTATAGACTGAAGCGCCACTATTGATTTTTTAATTAGAAAAAGAAAAAAATGTGTTAAATAAACACATTTTCGTTGCCTTGATTTAAATTTGTTAAATTTTGTAAAAATTTAATTTTTAGCTAATAAAAAATTTAAAAAATTTTTTTATTCTTATAAGTTAATGTAAAATGAAATTTCAATTTATGTTAAAGAAGTAACTTTTTCAGGTCAAAAATCAAGTTTCTCAAAAAAAATCTGAGGCAACTGAGTACCTATTTAGGTATTGATCCAAAATTTCGAGCAACAAACAAACTGGACAGGAACTAATTTACAAACTTAAATAAGATTTTGCGGAATAAATCATTAATTTATGGTAAGAAAATAATATATTTTATAGAAATTAATTTCCTTTTATTGTTGTTGAATAAT